TTATATATATAACCACTTTCCTTAGCAGGCTCAAGAGCTAAAATAAAATAACACCCGTGAAGAATGCTTTTAAAGTTATACAATTACCATTGCTTGGAGAATATTTATGAGAGGTATTTATTAAACATGTTCAGGGCTTTATAGAGAGCATGTCAATATTTCATTACCCTTACAATATGAATCTTGATGCAAATCTAAAACACATTTTTTACTGACATTTTGACAAAATGACAGAGAAACAGACTGGAGAAATGCTATATATTTTCTTCTAGTATATAAAGTTAGATGCCTTCAACACCAATTTCTCTCTTGCAATATAATTTTAAAAACCTATTACAATTAAACACAGATTCATTAATAAAAATGAATACAGAGGAAGGCAGATGCATATCTCTATTTTTATATAATTTGCATAATTATAATATGAATTAAGCAATTTCCTTTTGTTGAAGTCCTTTTCTTTGCTTTCAGTATTTTCTCATAATTACCTCATCTAGATAAGGAGTCCTGGTGTGGCACTGTGGTTAATGCGCTGGACTGCAAGGTTGCTTTGAACCGCAAGGCTAGCGCTTCACGCTCACCAATTGCTCCTGAGAAACACTATGTTGTTGTTGTTAGGTGCCACTGAGTTGGTACTGACCCCATAGTGACCTTATGCACAGCAGAACAAAACACTGCCCAATCCTGGGCCAACCTCACTAATGTTGCCAAGCTTGAGTCCATCGATGCTGCCAATCCATCCCATTGGGGGTCTTTCTGTTTTTCTCTGTCCCTCCATCTTACCTAACATGATATTCTTCTCCAGCGACTGGTCCCTCCTGACAATATGTCCGAAATGCGAGAGACGAAGTTTGGCCATCTTGGCCTCTAAGGAGCACTCTGGCTGCACTTCTTCCAAAACGGATCTATTGGTTCTTTTGGCAGCCCATGGCACTTTCAATATTCTCCTCCAACACCGTAACTCAAAAGCATCAATTCTTCTATGGTCTTCCTTATTCACTGTCCAGCTTTCACATGCATATGAGGTTATTGAAAATACCATGGCTTAGGTCAGGCACACCTCAGTCCTCAAGCTGACATCTTTTCTCTTCAACACTTTAAAAAGGGCTTGTGCAGCAGATTTGCCTAATGCAATATGTCATTTGATTTCTTGACTGCTGCTTCTATGAGTGTTGATAGTTGATCCAAGAAGAATGAAGTCCTTGACAACTTCAATCTTTTCTCTATTGATAAGAAAGCTGTTTATTGGTCCAGTGGTCAGGGTTTTTGTTTTTTTGACATTGAGATGTAATCCATAGTGAAGGCTGTGCTCTTTGATCTTCATCAGTAAATGTTTTAAGTCCTCTTCACTTTCAGCAAGCAAGGTTGTATCATCTGCATATCACAGGTTGTTAATGAGTCTTTCTCCAATCCCGATGCCACGATTTTCTTCATAGAACCCAGCTTCTCGGATTATTTGCTCAGCATACAGGTTGAATAAGTATGGTGAAAGAATACAAACCGTATACAGGGTCACCATAAGTTGGTACTGACTCCACGGCACTTAAGAACAATATGGCTAGATAAGGGACAAACTTATCTGTTTACTTACAGTCTATTCATAATTACCTCACTGATTGTTAATACACAACTCCAAATTAATGGAGTTGTGTATATCAAATTTCTTCTTCATGCAGAACAGCTAGAGATCTGACAAGCATTTTGGTTCCAAAGAAATATCACTAAGGCCGATTTGCTGCACCTTCACCTGCCTAAAATGATAATCCATTATTCTCTCAAAAGAAACGTTCTCTCAGGAAAAAAAGAAAAAGAGTAATACTAAAACAAGAATATTTTCAAGTTCAATAACATCAAAATATTTCAATATTACAGAATACAGAAAAAGAATTCAGGTTCTTGGAGGTTGGGCCCAAATGAAAGAGAAATCAATTTCGTCATAATGCAATTTTACATTATCTATACCCAAATGCACCAGACTGTAAAGCTATTTGAACTGCAAAGTCATCAGTTTAAGTTCACCAGCTGCTCCTTGGAAACTCTAAACAAGGTCGCTGTGGGTCAGAATTGACTCGACGGCATTTGACAACAACAACGTACCCAAATGATTCCTTCTGTGGCACTTCAGGATTAGCACTGGGCTAAGGACAGCAAGGTTGGTGGTTCAAATTCACCAGCCATTCCTTGGAAATCCTATACAGGGTCACTGTGTGTCGAAACTGACTTAATGGCACTTAGAAACAACAAACCAAAATAAGCTGATATGGTAACAGAATCTTGATGTTAAATTTTCATTAAGCAATTCAATGAAACAAAACTAAACTCCTATACATGTGGTTCAAAAGAGTAAAGTTACCTCGACTTGTATTGCCAAATGTGCTCTCTCCTTGTCTTTTCGCTCCATGCACCGCTTTACTTCCTCTAATTCAGATGCCATTGCGTTGAAATTCAGCTGCACTCTCAAATCTGACATCTGCTTTTCCAGATCCTGTTTGTCCCGCTCAGTCCCTTAAAAAAGAAAACGTAAAGCAGGAGGTTGTTTTTCACTCACCAGAGAATGTACTTTCAAATGGTATTGAGTCCTGATGTTTTCATATTCTAGCTAACATAATCCACTTATTGACACTGTCACTCACCAGATTTTTCAGATGTCATAGTTTATTGTTTCAAATCCCATAAGATTTTCAAAAACATATCTACATTACTGTGCCATCCAATATTATTCCATTTTGGTACTTATAGTTACAGTATTATCTGATTTCTAGTACAATTTATTTCAGAAAAATACTACACACTGTTTTGCTTTGTTTTCATATTCCTACATTTCCTCTAAACTCTATAGTAACATAAGTACAAAAGAAAATCAACTAAGTTACCTATCTAAATAAAGTTACATAAGGTCACGCAATGAAAAGCTTTCCTAACAACATAAACAAGAGACACTGATACATGTCTAACACTGTGTGGTCAAAATTTTCTAATCCTTACTGCTCCAGACTAATATCTTGAAATTGTAACACAGAACAATACAAATTAATTTAGTACTTAATTTAACCTAAAACAAAAGATTAATAAGACAAAATCTCATTCTGAAATAGCCTGAATAAAGATAAAGTATATCTTTGAGCCAATAACAAAATATCATCAATTTAAAACTGTTCTTTAAAAAAAAAAAAAGGAGGAGGAGGAGGAAAGCAGAGAGGAAAGTAAAGAAGAAGAGAAAACTACCAAATCAAATTTATAGATCATGCATAAGACAGAGCTCAACTTCAGAAATATTAGTGCTCTAAACTGTATATCTGAAAATAGAAGCATTTTAATACCATGACACCAGTATTGAAAGATACATATACAGTAATAGTACAAAGGAGAGATTTACTCTATCTTGCCAAAATACTGATGTAGAAAGAATTGGGAAATCAGTAAGATGTAAAGAAGGAATACAAAAGTTCACCAATCATATGCTACAGATATTACATTAGGCAAATCTGCAGCACAAAACCTCTTTAAAGTGTTGAAGAGCAAAGTTGTCACTTTGATGACTAAGATGCACCTGCCATAAGCCATGGTATTTTCAACAACCTTATATGCATGTGAAAGTTGAACAGTAAATGAGCACACTATAGAAAAATTGATGCCTTTGAGTTATGGTGTTGGAGAAGAATATTTAAAGTACCATGGACTGCCAAAAGAACAAGTGAATATTTGGTGGAAGAAGTATAGCCAGAAAGATCCAAAGAACAAGCAGATATGTAAAAGCTGGTCTATAGCTCTAAGACTAGAACTAGTATCAGCCACCATGATTGAGATCACAATAAAAGGTCCCAGACAGAGTAGGAGAAAAATATGGAACTGAAAGAAAAAAAAAAAACCCTCAAGTAAAGACCAGGCTTATTGGTCTGATAGAGACTGACAGAATCCTCAGACCATGGGTGTTAAACACTCTTCAAATTGGAACTGAACTTACTCCATAGGGTCAACAGTTGAAAAACAATAGGCAGGCTTTCTCACTGCCTGACCAATGCCACCATGGGTCTTACGAAAGCTCCCTGGAAGGTCTGTCCCAATCAGATCTGCCCTATTGCTGGAGTGTCTCTGCCTGGATGAATGTGACATCTGATAACATGAAGGAGCAGATATACAAACTGGCCCAGCCAAGCCTGTCCCCTTCACAAATGAGTATGATCCTAAAAGATTCTCATGGCATTGCACAAGTACATTCTGTGACCATCAATAAAATCTTGAGAATGCTTCAGTTCAAAGGACTTGCTCTTTAGCTTCCTTAGGACCTACCTCTACAATTTGATTAAGAAAGCTGTTACTGTTTAAAGTATCTTGAAAGCAACAGAAAGGATAAAGATGCTAAGTTCCATCTGATTCTGATTGAGATCCAAATTCACCAGTTGGTTCAATACTATAAAACAAAGAGAGTCCTCCCATGCAATTGGAAATATAAATCATCTACAACATCTGCCCTGGTTGCATACATCTGTCTATGTACTTGAGCAACAGAATTGTTTAGCTACAAAAACAAAACAAAACATGACAGACAGACCAATAAGGTGAAAAATAACACCAGGTAGGTGCATAGTCCTCAGAACAATCAACCACACTTGACCCAAACGGTAGCATTTGTCCAAGACAAAGCACAGAAGGGAAGGCAGAACAGGAAAGGACAACCGAAAACAGGAAACATAAAGAAAGACAAAAAAAATGCTGTTATACTGGGAGGATTGCAATCAATGTCACAAATTGTGTGTATGAATTGTTGAATGGAAAACTAATGTGCACTGTGTTTACACCCAAATCACAATAAAGAAAAAAAAAAAAGGTTCACAAAATAATGGAGATGGCGATAGATAGTAGCTATATTCCAATAAAAGTGATTTTACAAAAACAGGCAGAGAAATAGATTTGGCATATAGTTGTCTATATTTTCTCCACCTTTCAGAGGTCTTCAACATAAAAATATGCATCTTTTTGACATGTAAAAAATTATATGAATTTATAAGTATATGAATTTTATTTA